ATTGATATCGTGATAGTCTGGGTCAAACGGATACCAGCCAATTGGCTTCGATTCGATTTCCTTGAATGGACCCGTTGGCGAGCGGGATACTGCTATTCCAATCTTAGAAGGTTCCTCAAATGCCGAATAGCGGAAGTAGTCTTTCGTCATGTCCTCAAGCAGGCGTCCCGCAAAAAGGAAGAAGTACCATCCTGTCTTTTCATTGTAGTATGCTTCAGGTGCCCAGAACCAGTCACGAGCCCAGCAAGCCTGGCCACCCTCAATTGGGTTCATATCGACATCGAAGCAGGCTTTAAGGACGCCACCAGGTTGCTTGTGCCAAGTCGAAAGATCTGGACTACTGTAAATCGCAAAGTTATATCCATCATCGGCTCCTTCAGTAGAATATACATAATACTGGCCACTGTTAGAATCGTAAAAGGCGTATGGATCTGCAGCCGCGTGCCGAGCAGAATTATAGAATTGGGGATGTTGGCCATTGTGGTTGTTCCTCGCAGGAGCTGCCATGACAGCGAGACGTAGCAGGGCTGCCCCTGAAAAGTAATTGAACAGCCGCATATTTGCAGCGCCACTGAAGAGAGAGGAACGACCCGGGGAGAAATGCTCAAGACTTTACGATTGCATTTGGAAGATAATTGAAGTCTTATAAGATGCGCGGCCTATTCTCGGCGCTCTCTCCAGTTACCCCGTCTTTACGCGCACGAATGCCATTGATGGTCCGAACTTGGTGGAGGGGCTGTGATCCTTCGTCCCTGTCAAATGTTACCGAATGCCACCAGGTCAACTTACAGGCCCACAATTTCCCCTCATGATCAAAGAATTGTTCCTGGATCACCTGTAACTTGGCTTACCTCGCTGTCATTTTTACATCTAAAATTGGTGGATTGAGATGAAGCCAGAGGGCAAGAAAAAGACTTGAGCTCATTTGGCCCAGCTCTTAGAATGTTGGCATGGATTGGGCCCTACACAGGAGGAAGTAGAACATGTAATAGGCAAAACTTCCGACGTGATCAGAAAATTCGTGTAAAGTGACAACAGCAAGGGTAAGTGACATCATCCAGACTCCGGGGCCCCGCACTGCTGGTGAGTTGACCCTGTCGAGGTAACGTATCGCGGACTATTTCCCTGCGACTTTTCAGTCCTCATCGATCCCTGTCAGACCTCGCACCTAGCTATTTAATTGTCACGCGAGGTGCTGTGCCTCCAATTGGCCCCAGGGCGATTGTGGTCCAATTGGTTGTTTACTTCCTGTCAGCCTGCTCCTCCACGGTTCAGTTCAAGAGCTATGTCCTCGCGCATTGTTGGCCAATTCAGGATTAGCGGAGATAGCACGTAATGATAATAATCTTTGCAAGATATGCCATACCTCGAGACTATTATTGTGCAAGTTGTCAAGCTGCTCGAGCAATCTTCTCGACCTCGACACAACCCACACATACGCGTGCAATGGCTTTGGTATGATTAATATTCATCAGAGGGTTTGAATTCAATAAAACAAGGTTAGCTCGCAAGCCGCTTCTCACAACGCCGCGGTCTGCCAACCGATGCCATTTGGCTGCCAAACTCGTAGCAGCCCTCAATGCTTTTGCTGCGTCAGCCCTGCACTCACCAGATTATCCAGCTCCCAGTGCAGCGTCAGCCCAAAGGGAACATCAAGGCCCGTCATAATTAGCCCGACAGCATCTATTCCAGCTAAATTGGGAACACCTGCTTCATATATCAGTCGGACGTTTGACTCCACGTAGATGTAGGATGAGTTTGTGTTATTCGTTCGCCTAATAATGGTTACGACCGCTGGATTCGTGTAGCCGATTTTGAAAATGTCCATGGTCGAGGCGCTGGTACCTTTGTCTCAAAACTCCTTTTGGCTGCAAACAAGCCCCTTGGAATGTTTTCTTGACTATAGATTAGACTTGTTGCGGTACCGTCCATACACAGGGTCTAAACAAACTGTCCACCGCTTACGCTCACTTATGGGTGGAGGCATGGCAATGGAAGATGTAGTTGTGTTGGCACAGTGTGTTAGAGGTATCTCCAGCATTGAGGATGCGTTTTCGAGTTTTATGACTCGGCGGGATGACCGGGTGGAAACTGTTGTTCGGACCAGCGTTCGGCTCTCCGAGCTACAGCAAGCAAATGCGCCGCCTACCGAGAACGCCGTGTTGCTTTCGAAAGCTTTTGCAACACTTCCATTTCCATATTGACCCCTAATGTTCTTCGGGTCAATCAAATATATCAATACAGATATCATGGTGATGAAGGAGGTTCGCACGATGAAAAGTGGTGTTCGACTATATCCAACTATCTCTATATAGAGAACATGCACTCAATTGTAAGTGCATAGACTACTGTACACTATTTGAGGGTGTCTAATCATTATTATTGCCACTTACTACATTCTCGTTACAGAAACCTTATGGAAGCATTGCCGAAGCGTCGCCAACGAGCCTTAATGACTTCATCTATCCACGTGGGGTCATAGTTCTCGCTAGACAAATTTGCTCGGCAAGAGCAAACACTAACATTCAAGAATGGCCGAGACTTTTATCCACACATCTCAATTCCTTAGAATATCATAGCACCAAAGGTTTGTAACCTTGAGTTTGGCGAAACCAATACTCGAATGTAGCTCGCACAATCCCATCCTGACGCAGGTAAGTGCCAGCCTCAGCGGCAAGTGCGTCGTCGACTTTCTGTATGGGTCCTAGGATGGATGCCCTGATTTGGGTACGAGCTGCCCGCTCAAGATAGACACAGAGATAAGTTGCCATCTCGATGGACTTTCCTGCTGTCAAAAGTCCGTGATGAGCAAGAAGAATAGAACTCTTATCCCCTAGCGCTCTAGTGATGATCACGCCTTCCTGATCTGCAATAGGAACACCAGGCCAGTCCCCTAGGTATCCGCACTCGTTGTAGAATGGTGTCATGTCCATCTGTGCAACAATTAGAGGCTGTCGAGCTGCTACGAGCGCCTGTACCCATGGAGAGTGAACGTGAACGATGCTATGGATATCGGGCCTGGCGGAATAAACCCATAGATGGAATCTTGTCGCAGGATTAGGCATGCCTGTACCAGTGACAGTGTTGAGATCACCGTCAACCTCAATGAAGTCTTCGGGTGTGGCCTCATCCCAACCCAAACCAAAGCGGAGAGTCCAGTAGAAGCCCTCGCCCCTCTCGGAGCGAGCCGAGATTTGGCCTGCAAGGCCTGCCTCTTCTTGCTTAGAGGCTATCACCCTGCAGGCACAAGCAAGTGTCTCTTGAAGCGTACGTTGCTCAACTTTGAAGTATCGTTTCATTTCAGCAGTTGCCCGTTGGTCGAAGTACTCCTTCGATCGAAGCTCTTGACCGTTCAACTTAGGCGCCGGTGCGTGTGAAGGCGGCGAGACGGCGGATGGGGCCATGATGCTTTGTAGGAGATCGTGTGTCCACTAAAGAATTGTAGAGCCGTGAAAGTGTGATTGCTATTATCGTATAAGCTTTTGTCAAGGGATAATTGACGGCCGTGAGAACTTTACTCCCAATACGTAACAAGCTATGCAAGCTTAAGTAGGCAGTACTAGCATCCAAAGCATTTGCCACCGGTCAACACTCAATCCAAGCAAAATAGCAATCTAGAAGTGTTGAGGTTCATGGCTCTTAACTCACCCATCGCTCCTTTGCCCTGATTTGCTGGTTACAGGGTTAGCAAACGGATCCAGATCAGTGTTTGCCATCCTGAGAAGCACTTCCGCGGAGCCCTCGGTAATTGAATGCAAACATGGGAGATAGTATTCGATTCTCCTAAGTCTGCTTTCCGATCCTGCTTCCGATCTTCACCTAGACCAGAAGAATAAGGGGTATTCTAGGCGATGCCATACTTGGCATTCAAAGATACTTCACCCCAATGATGCACAACGGACCTTCCTATGATTGGCTCACGCATGGTGGATGTTTAGCGTTACGTATCCAATAAACTTTGAGTCAAGGCGAGAATCCCCACGCCTTATCTGGGTATTCTTGGCAGGCCTGGTGGAGCACTTCCGGTCCTATGAGATTAGGGTCCGTAGACGGACCCAGAGTTCATTGGTCCTCGTGTCTCAACCCTAGCACCGGTACGAAATCCTGCAGAGAGGCGCAAATTCGCAGTACTCAGAACTTTGTATAGGAAAGGGAGACCAGCTAGTCAATTGCGATAAGGGAACCCAAAAAAAAAGCCCACTGACTTAGAAGTAAAGCAAGCTGTTTGCTCATTTAGTTCAATTGTTTACTTATATGTCAAGAAGGTGTCAGGAGTAATTTGCAATAATGTACGGGGGCTTCATGTACAGGCTAGTCCAAAGTTGTCAGCCTCACTTCACAAGTATGAGCTTCAAACGCGACATTCACAGCGACTCCGTCTTGTCCCGCCGGGTAGGAGATAAATAAAGAAGCCTGATCATGTCAAGAACGAGTGGTATCTAGATACAAATAGATAATAGACTTAGACTGCTATTATAACGACAAGCTAAATACCATCCATGTTGTCTCTACGTCCTTGATACCTGTTAGCATATGCTCTTTGGGCATGCACAAGCTTACTCTGTGTCCGCCGCGATACTACTGCCCACGATGAAATGCAGGAGGGGTGAGCACGTGCCGGATATGGTAGGATATTTTCACGCCACCGTTCGTCGCAATAGATATGATCTTATGGATCGATGCATCTTGATATTGATTTACAAAACACCCAGTTGTCGGCTTGCCGTGGACCACGAACAGGCCCCATAGATTCTTGCAAGAAAGCCGGGCGCCGGGGATAGGAGATCTGGGAATATGTCAGCAGACCGGACCGCTCTGTGATTGGCTTCAGATATCAAACAGCCCCTAAGAATGAACTAACCGACCCGGTGGAGCCTTCTAATAAAGGATCTTGAGAACTCAGTATGGTCAACCCGGAGAGTGCAGCGATAAGCAAAATGGATGAAGAACAACAAAATTCGTGCATATAAGACTTATTGTGCGCTTGTTGTGCAACCTACATGATCACACCCCTTTTTAAATCAGAACTAACATTGAGTCTGCAAACGCTCGACTCGGATATGGATCCCGAAAAGGTGGCAATGGATGACAAGCGAGAAGTCAATTCAGCAAGCTCTAATGGAAATGTCGAGTCGGGCGAAAGCATCGTCATTGCCGATGCGATCAGTGACAAAGCATTGCTCCGAAAGCTCGACTTGCGGGTAATTCCTCCACTGTTCACCATTTTCGTCATGTCGTACCTTGATCGAACCAACATTGGCAATGCCAAAATTCAGGGACTGGAGAAGGACCTCGGTATGACAGGGAGTGACTACTCTATTGCGCTCTTCATTTTCTTCATTACATATATTCTTTCGGAAGTCCCGAGTAACCTCTTCCTTAAGAGGTTGAATCCCTCAACCTGGTTCTGTATCATAATCACTTGCTGGGGTAAGCTTCCAATATCCTAATCGTTGAACGCAATTAGTAATTTCGCACATGTATTGACTGAATTCTTCTGCAATAGGCATAGTCACTGTCGGCCAAGGCCTTGTCAAGAACTTTGCAGGGCTAATATCGCTGCGGCTTGTCTTGGGTATCTTCGAGGCGGGAGTATTCCCTGGCGGAACATACCTTATGTCGGCATATTACGCTCGGTACGAACTTCAATGGCGCTTTAGTTTGTTCTTATCATCTATCATCATCGCTGGAGCATTCGGAGGTGTAAGTATCTGCACCGTAGTCTGTAACGTGATTCTCGGGAGCTTGGCTGACAAGTATGGCTAGCTTCTTGCCTTTGCACTTGCAAAGTTAGACGGAGTTGGCGGCTACGAAGGGTGGCGGTGGATCTTCATCATTGAGGGTATCATCACAGCCATTATTGGAGTGATATGCAAATTCTGGGTCGTTGAATGGCCCGATAAGGTTAAATGGTTGACGGACGATGAAAAGGCACGGCTTACAAGGAAGCTTGCTGCCGACGCTGGCGATGCCGATGGCAATGGCGCCAGAATGGATAGATTGAACAAGTCAGCAGTGCGAAGGATCGTCACCGACTGGAAAATTTGGCTTGGTATTCTGTAAGTCAATCCTCTCCTCAGGAGTCCTTAGCCTTGACTTACTAATGCTTGATGCAGAATGCATATAACGATTGTCACCTCTACCTACTCCGTCTCATTCTTCCTGCCTACTGTGATCAAGGTACGTTTTCAAAGAGCCATTTGCTTTTTACATACATCTCGCCCTATTTTGAAGCCTCTCTGACGCAGAATCTAGGACATGGGTTTTACATCCGCTGAGGCGCAGGTCAGGATCATTCCTGTATATCTCGCGGCAACGGTTGTGTCGTTGACCTGTGCCTGGCTCACCGATCGCTTCCGATGCCGCTACAAGATGACTCTAATCACCTTAATACCAGGAATTACTGGCTATGGAATCATGTTGGCAGGTACTTCTGTATCTGTTGGAGTTCGTTACTTTGCGTGTTTCTTGACTGGAATCACTGCATTCACCACCTTACCCACTGTTTTGGCATGGGTAAACTATCAGGTAATTTTCCCAAGTTGTGTTGTCCTCTATATCTCGATTATTGCTGACAATTGGTACTTAGATTGCCGGACACTTCAAAAGAGCTATTGGCAATGCAATGATTCTCGGAATAGGTAACATAGGTGGCATTGTCGGAAGCAACATCTGGATGAACCGCGAGGCGCCTCTCTATAGAACAGGCGTTATCGTCTCCCTGGTCTTCTTGGTCAGCAACGGGTTGCTCTCCACTGTGTATTACTTTGGGCTGCGCAGAGAGAATCGCATTCGCGATAGTGGTGGCCGCGACTATCGATTCACCGACGAAGCTGAGGACTTAGACAATATGGGTGACGACCATCCCTCGTGGCGATTCACCTTCTAACTCAAGACCTGCTCCGACCTAGGAATTATACTGTCTGTGGCATCAATCATCCTTGTAGCCTAGAGGAGCCATCGCTGTACTGCTCTCGGCAGGAATCTTTGTCGGGCCGTTGCCCCCTCTTACCCTACTCTTAGATGAAGCGAATTTACGTAGAACAACAGAGCTGATTATAGATGTTTCTGTATGTAGCAATATTCGAAATATATTGGTGGCCTATGTAATGAAAGATAGAATTCGTATTTCCTGTCGAGTCTTCTGAGTGATGAGTGCGTCTTATGTACTGTCCGTAGCTTAAATGGAGTGCATGCCAAGTTCAATTGGGCAATTTCATGACAGTGCCAAGGTTGTCACACAGCCTGTAAGACTGCTTATCTCGTTATCACCACCTAAAAAGGCTGGACTCAGTCAAGAGACGGTGGCGAATAGCCCATTCCTCAGCGAGATCTACCGCAGCATCAATTGACAAAATTTCTCCTAGATTTTCTAAGACCATTTATCCAGATTCTCTTTAGAAACGCCAGGCGAATGAATCGACTTGGTTGTAATCCCTCCCAAGGGACTGGACAGGACATGAGAGACTTCGGATAGACTAAGGGTGGATTCCAGGCTTTAGCAGGAAAACTAAGTCTCCAAGTGGGGATGTGCTTGATCGGACCTGATAAGAGGCCCCATCCCGTCACTTGTCTTCGCCGCATGCAATCAATCGTCAGACTTATCTCACATTCTTTGATCAGTTCCTACTTCATTTGCCCGTAATTCATACTCTGCTTATCCTAGTAAATGCTGACCAGCTTCCGATGATTCCACGACTGAAGGTCGCCACAGCTTGTAACAACTGTCGCCGGAGAAAGATAAAATGTAACGCCAGCCGTCCTAGTAAGTCTGTCCAATTCCGCTCCGGCTTCATCTATTCTGACCTCAGGTGCCCCCATGTTCACAGTGTGCAACCCTTGCCTGTCAAGACAAGACTCCTCTTGCATATATGCGGAAGAGCATAAAGCACGCCGAAGGCGGCGGGAGTCAGCTTCCAAGCCCAACAACATCAAAAAGGCCTTGGCTACTCAGGCACCCAGCGCTCGATCAGTCTCTTCCTCTGCCTCTAGCACACCCTTTCCTGTGAGAATTCAAAATCCGGCAAAGAGAAGGAATCTGGACAGCCTAGCCATTACTCCTTCTCCAGAAGAGCGAGGTGGTCTCTATCCCGACAAAGACACTCCATCTACATCGGACGTAAACCATGCTATCAAAGCTCGTCGCCAGTCGGTCAAGGGCTCCGTATCTCACGACGCCGACGTCATGACTGGAATGGTGGGGGATCCAGCCCGCAGCGTCGAGTTCTTCGGTACCAGCAGCGCCGGATCGTTTCTGAGGGAGATCAATTCAGCCATAGACGCGCGACTGGGCCATTCAGCTCAGCTATCTACCCCCTGGGATCTCGACACGCGGTCGACAAGCGCATCGACGAATACAGTCGCCCGAATCCTTGATAAGCAGGACCCTCAAGACTATACTCTACCGTTTAGAAAGCACGCCGACGAGCTTTTGGACTCTTACTATGACCTGGTCTGGGCTATCTTACCTATCCATGAGAAGCTGCCATTCGACGAGGCATACAAAGCCGTCTGGCTCGGGTTGACACCAACCATGCACGAGCGGACATTATTCTGTCTTATCAATATGACTTTTGCGCTCGGTAGTCAGTTTTCCGAATCTGTTGACCCGGTACAGCGACGAGAAGTTGGCCAAGCGTTCTGGAAACGGGCCAAGAAGCTGCTGGGCGGTCATACCCATAGCGCATCAATAGAGCAAGTACAGTGTATGCTTATGATGGGTTTGTATCTGCAGAGCACCTGCGAAACATATGAGTGCTGGATGACTATTGGCTCGGCGATCAGAATGGCACAAAGTCTTGGGCTCCACCTGTCCAATTCCATGACCAGCGTATCGGGATCGAGAGAGGTCGAAATGGCTCGAAGAGTGTGGCATGGCTGTGTCTTCATGGACCGGTAAGTGTTATTGACGCTACTTAATCGCAAGAGGGTGTAGAACACTTATTATCATAACAGAGTATTGTCAATGACATTCGGTCGGCCCAGTATGATTGCGAGGTGGCTGCCCAACACGGTCCAGGTCCCAATGCCATCAATGATTGATGATGAGTTTTTCGGCTCCCAGACAGAGCCCTCCGCTATCCGACCAGACGGTCAACCCGCCATAGTCGCGTTTTTCATCAAGACTATCGAGTTATACGACATTGTCAATGACATTCTCCTTGACCTTTATCAAGGTTCAACGGATGCAGCCAGCAAGGAAATGCACTATCTCACCGCGGCACTTCAATTCGATGATCGCCTCCTGCGGTGGGCACGGTCCTTGCCCGAACACCTACATTATCCACCACCGAATCATGACAGTAGTCTCGTATACGAAAGACAACGAATCGTGTTGCACGCGCGGTGAGTTCCGTACCATGCACGAATTGGGCCATACGCTGATTAATTTGAGTAAAAGATATCTTCAGGCCCGAATGATAGTGCTTCGTCCGATTCTTGCAGATTACTATTTGAAACAGCTAGGCAGCAATAGTCTACCGGCCACGAGAAAAGGGAGCTTATCGCAACATCTTATCGCTGGGTCTGCAGAGATTTGCTTCGAGGCTGCACATGAAATGATTGACGTATTATACACGCACTTCAACTTCGAAAATGTGACCGGCCCTGTCCCAGCTTGGTGGTTTGCCGTCCTCTGTTAGTCTCGTTGTCTCCGCAAAGAATGTCATTGGGCACTGAAGCTAATAAAGAATAGTCATCTACACGGCCGCGACAGTCCTGCTAGCAGAGCGCCTGAGACCTATTGAGAATAAGACGAGAACAGCTGGAGCAGGGCTGAAGAACCTGTCATGGGATCGCGCAATCGAGCTGTTACGGGCGTATGCTCGAGTTGGGCAGTCTGCCGAGCGCTGTGTCGCTGCTCTTAGCATCCTCTCCGCAAAGATACAGAGCACACGACTTGACGATCACGATCATGCCAGGAACTTTGAACATGTCCATTCGAGCGCTTTACCTAGCGGAGAGGTTTCCATCAATACCATGACTAGCCAAGATGTGGTCGATGACGGGTTAGATTTCCCGCTCGAACTAAGCGATCTCAACTTCAACATCGATGACATGTTTTGGCTTAATGCATCTGCTGCAGATATCATCTTCTGAATCAAGCTGTTTACCACCCTTAAAGTGTTAGATAGGCAGCATATGCGTGATACTCCAAAAATACATTTGCCCAATTACTTGAACCAGGGAAGATTTAGACACGCGTTACACATCAAACTATTGAAAGCAGCCACGAGGGAAGATGCCAATGACACGTAGTTGATTCGTCTATACTCGGCTTTGATGTCTTCCTCAATAGAAAAGAGGTTCTCCATGCCTTTAAGTCTCTCAGTCAGGATCACCGTACTCAATGCGCCTAATTTCACATCTCAATCGTACACTTCAGCAATACCATCCAATCATGAAATACCATGCTCTGTCTACATATATGACTCAATGTTACTGGTAGCCTTTGCGTCAAAGAGAAAGCCTGAGGGTTGTTCAAATCATATGTCGGTCACTACTCTTGGTTGGCGCCAGAGATATTTTGAGTGATCCAGGCTACAATAGCGTTGTGAACATGAAAACGGCGGCTGTTGCAGGACTAGTTTAAATTAAGCGCAGGAGACCTAATCAGCTTGAGATTTAGGAAGTTTACAATTCTTCCAGTATGCATGAGCACTGTACTTCGCCCATGCTTGGTATGTAATACATCCCAAATCTTACTCTTCCAGAGCTGCAGACTCCTAATTGGCACCAAACCAGCGCTAGCACCTTCGTGAATTGGCATTACTCTGCAGCCCTAACAGATCGCCGTGTTAAGTGATCCGTCCTACATCAACAGAAACGATGATGCGAAACTGAGACACAATAATCCCAACATGAAGGCAAATAAAGAATATGGCTGCAGTTACATATATGAGTTTAGAACAATGGCGCCAACCTGCCTCCACTAAGCGGATGAACCATCGCTGCCCTGCTCCGCTCTGCCCGCGACATGTTTAGCCTCGTTTTCAACGAAGGTGAGTCTTTTCTCTAGATCGCTCCCTGTCTCAGACGCAGCTTCTTCCAAACCCCAGCAAGTGAGTTTTTTGCGCGTAGGTCAACATGCCTCAGAGTCACGGCGTCTGTAAGGCCAAGCTCTTGCTCAGAAAATCGGACGCAGGCTCCTAAGATTGTCTTTGCTTTGTATAGGTCTCCCTCTTCGGCATAGGGTACGGCGAGTTTTCGGAAGCTATCTATTCGTCGAAATAGTTATCTCCGATATCGGAACTGTAACGAGTTTCCCTAGAATCGATATAGCCTCTCCAAGTCTTCCCTGCCCTTCCAAGCATCGGGTGAGCTCCAAGCGCATGATGTTGCACTGTACCATAGCCCCAAGCGACGAGAGACGGGCGACGAGAGAGCGAGAGCAATCGTCGATGACCTGATAACGGCGGTCACTAGCTACTGACATGCCCTCAAATTGTGCGTGAAACTGGTAGGCGCCGATCGTTTTGATCGAGACCAGCATGCTCTTCAAAGCAGTCTCGAATGAGCCGCGAGAATGTCTCTAAGGCTGAGGAAGTGTTTGGACTCTGTGCGTTGTTCATGTGATGTGTTGTCTCATTCTTTGCAAATTTCGAGGTATGTCTCAGTTGCAGGGCATGAACAAAGGAAACAACGACTAGCTGCTAGAACAATTTAAAGAGATTCGAGCTCCAGCCCTTCCCAGTTCCAAACACCATCCAAAACACCCAGATCTAGTTCTGGGGCCACGATTTCTTTGTGCATGGCTGATGCCCAGTCTGCATTTCCTATGCCTGCAGAGCATGCTCCATTCTCTGGTTCTGAAAGATTTCCGGGCGCGAATGAATCGGTTGCTGAATTCGTGCCGAACCAAACGTCTCTTGACTCCGGAACGCTGAGCTGTGATCTAGTGCTTCTGGTAGGTGATGGTACTAGATCTCCTGTCACGCTCGTTGCATATAGAAATTGTTTCTCTTCAGGGCACAAACTCAGCCGAGACACAAGTCCAGATAAGATGCCCCAAGTCGTGACGCCCATCTTTGTGCTGTCACAAAGGGTCCGTGATATGTACTGGGCGCAGCCAATAGCTCGAAGAATTTCCGACTTGCGTGGGCTTAAAAGACCATCACGATCATGCAACAACACGGAGCAGAGCAGCGCTGCTGTATCAAATGGACAGAATGATACCATGAAATACTTTGACTTGTTCGGCAGACAGAGGTCGAAGAAGCGTTTGCAGGTAGACATAAGGTTGAGTGCTGTATCGATAGCATAGGTCACGAAATAACCGCTCCCGGCTCTTCCTTGTGTATTGTCTTCGCCGTCCAAAGGCTCCTTGCCAATTGTTATGAGATAAGGACGTAGAGACAACAGAAGTGTCATGTATGCAGTCACATGCAGATGTAATCGCTGAAACACAAGTCTAGGATGTTCTTTATCCCATTGCGTATCAGGCTCGTACATTCTAAAGACAGAGGGTAACGAAGCCATCCAGATCTCGACAGATTTGACTTGTGATGGAATATCAGGATAGACGCAGCTGCTGAGTTGGTTTGCAAGCCGGGTTTGGAGAATTCTCTCAACAATTGGGGCGGGAATCCCAGCCGCCACTCCCGGAAACTCGTCAAGGCGCGCATCAGGGAGCGGTATGACAGATCCGGATGATATGATAGAGGGCCGATTAAACATGGCGACCATAAAGCTATAGTACAGTAAACATGATTTAGTATCCGCAAGTGTCTTGCTGTACACAATGGGTATGATGCCACTTACACGTCCCAGACAAACAATGCGCACCACATTCTTTTCCTCAATTCATTTTCTAGTTGACCTACCTCATGCCTAGTCTCTTTGAAGTGGATACCTATGAGAGAGTTCATATCAGAATTGAAAGATCTGTTATCTAGTAAATGTTGGGGGTTAAAGTTACCAATCTCTTGAGCCTCCCGAACTGCTTCGGCCAACATATGCCAAGAGGCGGCAAACTCCGCTTCTGCTTTCAGCCAGGTAGCTCCAAGAAATAGCTGCTGCACCTGAAGCAAGCCGCCTTTCCCTGGCGGGATAATGTCGCTAATTCTTTGAGCTGCTGCTTGGTATCGAGAGCTCAAATTATCTACTGAGTCGCTGAGCTCTGACTCAAGGGTTTCTTCGAGGTCCTCAGTGAGATATTGGGTAGAGTTGGCGCAGATCCGTAGTATGAGGCAAGCAAAGGCAAGAATGGTTGTGTTTGGTGATTTTTGAAAGTGTCGCCTCTGAGTCCACCACTCCACGTAAGCAGTCATGAATGAGACTTGGTGCAAGATTTCGTAATGATAATTGACATTGTCGAAGAAGTTTCGCACCAAGGTATCAGTATATGGCCTTGGGGGAATGACGAAAAGAGCATCTTGGACAAAGCTCGGTATCTCAAGAGAGCATGGAGAAGCTGATTGAAAATCGGCCTAGATAACAGCAGTGATTATTAGCTCAACTTGAACCTCGAAAAGGAAAGGAATACTTGGATAATGTACCAGCATGTTCTGTATAGGAAACAGCTTTTCTTGTGCGTAACCCAAGGATTTGAGAGCATTGTTCGCGTCTAAAGACGTCAACTGCTTATCCGCACCATCACTCTCTTCTACAACGTCTATATTTCGTCCAGAGATGGATTGATTGTGGCCGCCAAACTTTCTCTTCCTCGACGGTCTATAAGAATACTGTTAAGTCATGAAGATTACTCCCGCTAGGAGAACCAACCCTTGTTCCATGTCAGCAGGTGAGTGAAGCTCTTCAAATTGGCACAAATGCCCGCTCATGCGCCGCTGGCAGTTGGTGCAAGGCCATTGGCGATCACAGCGTTGCTTCCGACGTTTGCACTCGGTACAGGCCGAGCTCTTCCGACCTGTCCGTGTCTTAGGTTCTTTTGTAGACTCCATAGTCCCTTGTATGACTTTGGAAGAATTTCCATGGGAGGTCCGATAATTGACGGTATTCCCGTCACAATGCGGGAAACAGCATCGTTTGTCAGCGCCCCGTGGGGCTTTTACCCAATGACAGCTGCGGATTGCTTGGCTGCCAAGCCCGTGTAAGATCGGAGACCCCATTCCACGTCGGAAATCACCACGAAGATGCCAGGACTAGTATGCAATGTTGAATGTCTGTATAATACAGGTGCCGAATGTACGGGTATAAAGACTCAAGGGCTGCCATCCCGAAGATCGTTCACAGCAGCGTTCATCAGGACTTCCGGCCAAACATTTCCACACTTTAGACAAAACCTTCATATTCATAAGTTAAGAAGCCACTTACCAAAATGGCTACGCAGAATCTCGTTTGGTTCATCACTGGAGCCAATGCTGGATTTGGTCTGCTTCTAACAGAGTTGGCCCTTTCCCACGGTCACACCGTTGTGGCCACCGCGCGCAGCTTTTCCAAATTCCCAGATTCTCTTAAGTCAAACCCTAAGGCAGATCTTGTCGAAGTAGAGATTTCTGGGCCCGGCTCTGCTATTAATGCAGTGGTCGCGGGAGCTATACAACGGCACGGACAAATCGATGTATTAGTCAACAACGCCGGGTTCGGTCACCTCGGGGCTGTCGAAGAGGTCTCAGAAGCAGAAGCACGGTATCAATTCGATGTCAACTTCTTCGGTCTATTGAACTTCACCAAGGCTGTCATCCCGTACATGCGAGAGCAGAAGTCTGGCATCATTGTTCAAGTGTCTAGCGGAGCTGGTCTGTGGGCTGGAGTTGGTGGGCCAATCTACGTGGCTTCAAAGCATGCCGTCGAGGGGCTGGCGGAGGGCCTGGCAAACGAGGTAAAGCCGTTGGGGATCCGTGTGCACTTGGTCGAGCCTGGTATTTTTCGAACAGACTTCCTTAAAGCAGCTTCTCAGGGTAAACAGCTCGGTGAGAAGAAAGAAGGATACTTAGACAATGGATCAATCATGGGTGGACTTCACCAAAGCCAGCCGGGAGACCCAAAGAAGGCTGTACAGCGGATGTTCGAGATGGTTACAGGTACTGGGATGGGTCAAGGCAAGGAGTGGGACCTAAGGGTTCCTCTCGGGTCAGATGTCTATGGAATGCGGGACCAGAAAATCAAGAGCTTGACTGAGACTGCTGAGAAGATGAAGGATATTTCTCTTAGTACAGATTTTGCATCTTGAACTGGTGCAGGATACCAAGCAAAAATAGAGTCAATTCAAACCAAGTACAATATAATAGAAAAAGCCGAAGATGACCCGTGACGATGCCACCAAGCGATGCGAGCCAGGTGAAAGCACACTATGCGTCTTCCTTCCTACCGCACACTAGTGCTTTTTACTTATCTTCGGACGCACATATTGCCTACTTGGAGGCGATCAGCGTCCCGACCCATCAGATAAGTCAATCAACTCGCTCTCCTCAAAGTGAAACATCGAAACTTCGAGTTCTCCAGTGTCTGCGTTATGCAGGACCGTGTGTACATGGAGCTCTTTCAGCCAACCATTTCCAAGCGGCCATTTGTAAGACGCTGAATCGACCATCGCTTGCAAATGCAACATCCCCTCAGCACACAAAATCTCAAGAGTGAAAGACTTGAAAATATTGTGAGATTTAACTTTATGGCTGTTTGAATAAAGTACCCGCAAAGAGCAGTCTCCTACATTGCTCTGCGGCACCTCCATCTTGGTTCGCACTGGGTCTGCTGAAGCATCATCCATTGTAAGGTCTCCCATGCCACCGTCCATTTCCAAGCACGGCTCAGAGGACTTCACAGTAGCATTCTCTGCAGGATCCAGGTCCATCGCTTCTGCTTCACTTACAGGCGCCTGACGCCACTTTCCATATGTATCTTCGGCCATATCGGATGCTTCTGCGCATTGTCAACAACATGTTTACCCGCGAGAAAGGAAAAAGAAAAGGAGAAGGAAGAGAAGACACGAGAAAAGTCAGCACCCACAACCCACAACTCCTGCTCTTTAAGCTGCAATATAAGGAACTGACGACTTGCGCCAAACGAAAGGAAATAAGGCCGAGAACACTACCCGCCAGTCGTTGGATGTGGTCGAGAGGTAAAGGGTGCTGGATTTATGTTCGGTGATGGCGCTTTTATAGCCATGTGTCACTAACTCCGCGACGCGCTTTGGCTGTTTCAACGTTCGTCACGGACCGTGTCTCCCGGTGAGGAGCACCCTCGCCAGAAGTTCACGTGGCCACGTGCTTGGATTAGTGAGCAAGAAGTCAAGCGAAGCCAGTAGCACGTTGTTTTAGGCTTTGGTCCTGGCCGTGCAATCCGGTCCGGAGTTCTGGAGGGAACGGATGTCAAGGCATGGCGGTAATTGGTCTATGCTACTCAGCAGGTTGCTTATATTTGGGACGATTGGACCTCGAGATTTGCCCTAGGTAAGCCTCATATTCATGCTCCCTGTTTACAGGTGAATTGCATGCTGAAAAGGATGCTTCATAAGCCGTGCAACTCGGCGGTCCCGAAATGACTCACATCTCTCCCGAGTTCTGCCGTTAAATGCACGATGATAGAAGGCTCGCGCAGTTCCAACGAAGAACTGAAGATGCATCGTTTTGGTGTTGCGTATCTCGGAGGAAGAACTATACGGAACCATTTAGTAGTGCGACCGCTGCTGTGTGCGTCGCGTCCCACCTCCTGAAGATGCCTCGGCACGGAGAAGTCTCCATGTTCAGCCCGCCGACCGACGTCAGTGGCCGCCTGCCGCCACTGCAATTCCAGGCCGAGGCACAGATCTAGAGGGCACCAGAGACCCCATGTTTCGCCAGACAGACCGACTCAGACACGGGGAAAGATTCCACACGCAAGTGCCGGCGACATTGCTTAATGGAGAAAGGCATTGTGTGGATATTGGAGCTCTGAGCATTGAAGAATCCGATTTCAAAGTAGGATGAATTGAAGAAGCCGATACTTTAAGGACCGAGACGCCATTTCTGAAGAGCTGTTGGAAGCCGTCACCACTGCTGATTTCGCCACGGACTTTCCACCCGTCATCAACAGAAATCATGGCCCAGCAGAGCCTGTCGTACGTGCTCGCCGAGCGGCCGAAGGGAGACATCATCCCGGGGCAGACCTTCAAAGCAAAGTCTGAAAAGGCACCGACGGCAGAAGACCTGAAGGATGGACAAATTCTTGTCGAAACGCTCTACCTCGCCCTGGACCCGGCGATGCGCGGGTGGCTGAATGGCATGTCCAATGCTTCTGTCGTCAAGTAATTACCCAAGAAGTCGGTCACTAATAGATTATAGACCTTCGATCATACGTCCCGCCCGTCAAGATCGGCGAGGTCATGCGCGGCGGCGTGTTGGCGCGCGTGCTCGCCTCGCGCTCCTCCAAGGCCAAAGCGGGTGATTTGGTGTACGCCATGACCGGCTGGCGCGAGATCGCGATCGCTTCGGAGAAGCTCTTCGAGCCGCCTCTTGCGCTGCCCTCCAATGCCAAGCCTACGGATCTACTGGGCGTGTTGGGTATGACAGGCTTGACGGCGTACTTTGGCATGTTCGACATCGGCGAGCCGAAGCCCGGCGAGACGGTCGTCGTGTCGGGCGCAGCGGGTGCGACAGGATCCGTAGCGGGTCAATTGGCAAAGATCATGGGTGCGAGGGTGGTGGGTATCGCGGGCAGTGATGAGAAGGTCCAGTGGCTGAAGGAGGAGCTGGGCTTTGATGATGCGCTGAACTACAAGGATCCCGACTTCAAGAAGAAGTTCAAGGAGGCGACGCCGAAGTTCATTGATGTATTCTGGGATAACGGTAAGCTGCACTAACGCATTGTGCCTTAATCTCGACTATGGATGCGCTGACGGTCAAAAGTCGGAGGGGAGCAGCTCAACATGGCGCTGGGACGGGCTGCCAAGTTTGCCAGGTTCGTCATGTGTGGAGGCATCAGTCAGTACAACACGAGAAAGCTTCAAGGACCTCCGGTATGGACATTATCTGCTGTTCAATGCTGTATATGGCGAGCTGACATGTTGTGACAGAACATCATCAATGTCATCCCCCAAAGGGTTAAGTAAGCATAGCGCATGACCTACGTTGTGCTCCGCGTGCTGACCAGTCGACAGGATGCAAGGCTTCATCGTCTTTGATCACACTGCAGACTTCCCGAAGGCTCGAAAAGAACTCGCCCAGTGGATGAGTGAGGGCAAGCTGAGGAGACAGGAGACCATCGTCAAAGGCGGTCTGAGGTCTGCCGAGCAGGCGTTGGTAGACCTGTACAAGGGCGTGAACAAGGGTGAGTGCCTCAATTACGGTCTTATTTAGAAGGCTTGCTAATATATGCATAGGCAAACTACTGGTCGAAGTTAAGAATCCCGACGAGCGCTCGAAACTATGAAGCGCTAGTGATCACGGTGTCGGTGATGAGTTCAAACCTGAAGGACATGTACTACTCGGCGAATGTAGCAATAATGAGTCAATGCAGGCCTAGGAGATTGACTCCTCTCTTGGTCTAGTACCGTTTGCACGCAAGCTACGTCTCGATGGCATCTATATGAGGCATCCAGTTACTGCGTTGTAGGCATAGGATAGTAAAGCCATTCACTAGGGCTTTCCAACATGTTCATCCTCATGTCGTGCATACATCTGATAAGTCTGTGGCGTGGCGCTGGGCGCTGGTATTGGCAATTCTTTCGCTTGCTAAAATCGATCTGAAATCGATCTCTCAACACTGGTCCACGCAGACCAAGGACGCCAGTGCGCATGAAAGTGCCCAATGTTCAGATTTTACTGCAATCTTAGCCTTCCTAGGGACCTCCTGATCTTGATAGGTTCCTCTGTCGTGTAGGTGGTGATTCGGTCTCGTGGCAGTGAGATTGACCAGTGACCTGTTGGCAGGATCACTTCGGTTGTAAACCTTGTGAGGCTGAGGACTAGGGCACCCATGGAGTCCTTATTAGAGGCTAAAAGTGCAGTGAAGCGCTCTCGGAGAGACAGCCGCCCAGAGCCGTGGGAGAAGCCAAGATCGTGGTGAACGAGCCTTTAAGGGGGTATCATGCAGGCGCAGTCGGTGTTCGTGATTTAGAGGGCACCCTTGAATATGGAAAACAGTAAACTCTACACCCAGCACAAATTATATCTTGGCTGCACTGAAGAATGAGCAATCGTGCATCACGCAATTTTTATCATTGTCACAAGTTATGTGCAGCTTGACGGAGGACATGCCTTTGCAGTTTCCATTTCGTAGCGGAATTGCCGGCTCTTGCATGCGCCTCGATGCCGACCATTCAGTCGCGACGCGATTTGTAATGAGGTCACACTCGATGCAGCTGAAGTTCCCCGAAACAGGCTGGTCGGCGAGTGAATGGCCTAAACAAGTGCAATGTGAGGGCATTGCCAGCGTGGCGCTAGGACGACTCGGGCAATGTCTGTTACTCGATTTTTACTCGATCAAAACTCCCAGGTCCCAACAATTATGCTCTAGGAGCCGCCTGCAAGGAGAAAGGCGCCCGAAAGCGGAAGAGTTCGGGGCAGCTTTTTGGCGTTTGAATGACACATGAAGCCGCTATCTGTCCAAACACGATTCATGATTGGCTGTTTGACGCCCAGAGTGCATTTCCACTCTTTGGAGCATTCAGAGAGAGAGACTGACAGTGGTAATCCGGCGGACTCCGGCTGGATCCGATCGCACAGGAATGAGCCAATGGTCAGCAGCCGATAAAAAAGACAAAAGACAGGCGGGATTTCAGGGTCTTTTTCACTGGCGAAGATAAGGGAAGGGAGAACGACTCGCCGTCAGTCAGACATCGACTACTGTCTGTATTAACCAAGACACACCGCCCCCCTGATAAGGAATCATGGGAGGGAGGGAGAGCATTCCACCAATTCCCAACCGCAGGGGCGTCTGCCATGCTGCCATGTGCTGCACCCCACAAGCACCTACCCTGGCGATCCCAGCAGCATTGAGTGAGTCTATCTCGCTCGGTGGACCTGCAAGTCGGCCGAAGCGTTGCATCTGCGTATGGTGCGTGTGCCTGTGGTGTGGGCTATCATATCGGGAAAAGCCTAGATCGGGACGCTGGTCCCAGGTAATCAATGGCCATGATTCGATGCCATTATGTACACACACCCGTCCCATCGTCGGCAGCGCATGTCAGAGGCCGGAACGGGTGAGCGGGCTGGAAGTCGGCCGGTGGAGCAGCCCACACAACGTCAGTAGTACGGTAATAGGAGGGAGTCGTGGGTAGGTCGGTGGTGCTTTCTTACCTCCTGTTCGTCATCCCGCTTGTCTTTGTCTTCTTTGCTTCTTTTTGTTATTCTCCCTCCTCCCAGTCATCGTGAGTCTCTGCCGTTGCAAGGGTATCCGTCCAAGATCATATCGCTTCCGTCCCGTCTCCTTTGTCTGTGCTCTGCCCACCGAGGCCGATCCGTCTTATCAACACCACCACCCCACCACCTCCCACTCTCGCGATAAGGGCGTAAACGTGTGGTCTGGACTTGAAAGTGCTATCCCCCGCATTTTCATGACTGCCGGTCATTCCTGAGCCTGAATTGGTGCTTATCGGTGTCTGTATCCCGTCCAAAAACATGACTGTCTCCGGAGGAGTCAACCCGGGGCCGCTCACGGTCCTAGTCTCAACAAGAGCCGTCCTCACCCTGCCGGACAACTCCCTGATTCTCACACCGGCCACTGTTGCCGTCTCAGCAGAGACTGGCAAGATTGTATCAATAGCCCACGAGATCCTACCACAGTCTACCTTCCCGTCATCGACCACATACATCGACTATGGCTCGAAGTTACTCCTCCCTGGTCTTGTCGATGCCCATGTCCACCTTAATGAGCCAGGCCGCACGGAGTGGGAGGGTTTCCACACGGGCACTCGAGCGGCTGCGTCAGGAGGTGTCACCACAGTCGTGGACATGCCATTGAATGCCATTCCTCCTACCACCACACTCGAGGGCTTCAAGGTGAAGCTGGCAGCCAGCAAGGGCCAATGTTGGGTTGACGTGGGCTTTTATGGCGGTGTCATCCCCGGAAACGCAGAGGAACTAATTCCCTTGGTTGAGGCTGGCGTTCGAGGATTCAAGGGGTTCCTCATCGAGTCGGGTGTATGTTCCCCCAGACCCCAAGATGCGTATGTAAAGCGCGAGAACTAACATTAGCGGTCACAGGTCGACGAATTCCCCGCCATCTCATCGAACGATATCGCGCTCGCCATGACGACCCTCAAAGACCACCCCACGACGCTCATGTTCCACGCCGAGATGATCCCGCCCATCTCCGACTCAGTCGGCGACGCCGTGCAGCACTCGGACCCGCCGCTGGCGCCTCACGGCCAGCTCACCAGCTACCAGACCTTTCTGGAGTCACGGCCGCCTGCCTTCGAGACGTACGCCATCGATGAGATCCTATCGCTCGCTCACCTCGCGCCGGCCCTGCACCTGCACATCGTGCACCTTTCCGCAACCGAGTGCATCCCTCTCCTGAAAGCCGCGCGCAAGGCCGGCATCAACATCACCGCCGAGACGTGCTTCCACTACCTGGGGCTGGCGGCCGAGGACGTCGAGGACGGCGACACGCGGCACAAGTGCTGCCCGCCAATCCGGGGGCAGACGAACCGGGACGGGCTGTGGGCGGAGCTGGGGTCCGGCGCGGCGGACAGCGTGATCCGCACCGTCGTGTCGGACCACTCGCCGTGCACGCCTGAGCTCAAGCTGCTGCCGGGCCACCTGCAGCACATCCACACCGAGGAGGACGACGTGCGCTCGCAGATGCGCCACTCGGACTCGGGCATCGACATGTCGCTGCCGGAGGAGGAGCGCGCGGCCGCGCACAACAAGCTGCTCGGCGCCGCGGCGTCCACGACTGTCGATGCGGCGGCGACGGCCGCGGAGGCCAAGGACATGGGCGACTTCTTCGCCGCATGGGGCGGCATCTCGTCCGTCGGTCTGGGCCTGCCGATCCTGCACACCACCTCGCTCGCGCGCGCCGCAACCTCCTCGGCCGCGCCGACGATCGTCGACATCGTCCGGCTGTGCTGCCAGGCGACGGCGAAGCAGGTGGGGCTGTCGCACCGCAAGGGCGGGCTGGCGGTGGGCATGGACGCGGACGTGTGCGTGTTTGACGACGGCGAGACGTGGACGCTGCACAGCCGCGGGATGCACTGGAAGAACCGCTGCTCGCCGTGGGAGGGCAAGACGTTCCGGGGCCGGGTGCGCGAGACGTGGCTGCGGGGCCGCAAGGTGTACGAGTTCGGGGGCAAGAACGGCGGCTTCGTGTGCGGGACGCCGGTGGGCGAGGCCATCACGGAGCGGAGGACGGTGTAAGTCCGCAGGGGAGGAGGATGATCAAGATTATGTCATCTGAGATGAGATATGGTGAGATTGAATGACGAGATAGAGAGATAGAGCGAGAGTGAGAGAGAACCTGACATACCCCAAAGCGCGTACATCATATGAGTTATCATCCTCAATATCTCATGAGTAAAGGAGGATCAGCATCGGGGTATATATATCAAAGGCATGCATTATCAGGATTTGAAAACGTGGGACGAGCAAAACGACATGAGCGAAATGAGGCAGTTTCATCCAATTCAAAACCGTTAAATCATGGCATTACTTATTGTTTACTTGATTCAATGATTCCATTCATCTTCGTTGTGAGCTGTCGTTTCTTCTGCCGGACAGACCATAAGATCACCAATTGAGGGGAAATATCACAGCACGGATCACACACTGGCAGCAGGTCACATTTATCGGTCACACGGGACAGAGCATCTTTTGCCATGACGTGCTTCCACGCTGCCGTTTAGCTTATGCTTCACTACAATTCGATGCAGTCGCATTCTATGCGCTGTAAGTGTGAGTGAGGTTATTCCCACCCCAACATTCACTGAGCCGCAGCAGGCGATCGCAGACCCGATGCCAAGATAGAAGTGCAACCCCCACCATAGTGATGAAGCCTACTGAAAACTCGGCCGAGATGAGTGGAGGTGGTAAAAGAAGCTAGGAGATGGCCGAATGCTAAGCTGCATGGATCATCGGACTGCTCCTTCGCCAGTGTCCGGATTCAGCAGTTCAGCAGTCAGTAATGCCTCTCAGCATTTCTTACTCGTAGCGCAGGTTCTTCTACCAGCACTTACAAATCGTTTGAGGCTTCACTGTAGCTGCATAAGCCATAAGCCTCTCTTGATCTGATCTAATCTTGAGATCTCGCTTACTAAGGTTTCCTACGCAGCTTTGGGACATCGATCAGATCAAGCAAGATCAGAATCTTGCCTTGTGGATTTACCTTGACATCGTCTTGTAGCCGTGCATTGAACAAGTTGAAGAGAAACGAACACTGCTGTAATAAACAACACTCGAAGCGAGCATAGAATAGCACTCTTCTTCGAAGCGAGGTAACATTTGCCCTTGTTGGCGGCGAGTGTATGTGGATCCCCCGCGTGCTTGCGAGATGATCTCCAGCTCTTCATGAGTAACTAATGCAAGCGAGCGCGGAGAGTTTCGTTTCCGAGAGACAAGCTGGTGCTCTCATTGGACTGCCCCATTCCATGCCCCTCCATACAGGTGGTGCTGCTCGTGTTTGCAGTGTGATCTTGCTCTCTAGGGGTCCTTCTGTGGCTTCTCTCTACAGTAGGGCTGCCCCGTCTGTCTTGGAGGGTTGCATTTGGACGTTGATAACCGAGACCAGCAGCCAGCCAGCCAGCCAGCCCGGGACCAGTGTGTCTTTCGGGGCATCCATCGAACCGTGTCTCAGGGATTCATCTGGAGTTTGTCCGTCATGGCGAGAGTGTCTTCTTGGGCAGTGTATCGGCTCTCAGATCCAGTGTCCGGTATCCGTCTAGTCTAGATGACGGATGACGGGTAGCGATGTGGTCCGCTGTCACCTCGCGTAGAGATGGACAGCAGGGTGGACGATATCTACGCGAGATGTTCGCTTGTTTGCTTAGTTGTTTGATAGACTGATTGACTGATTGACTGATTGGAAGCCCCCCCTGCTGCCCGAACCGAGCCCCAAAAGGTCAGTAGCGAGCCATGCGTTTGGTGACGGAAAGCTCTGGTTAACGTTATGTGCTCTTCGGCGCAATGATAGCTGGATTCGATCAATGCTCCCCCCATGTTTGGTCTTCCCCACCCGTCAATTGGCGCTGGTCGGGATCCAGAACGCAATCGGTAGGAGGTAGGGGTGCACAATTGGCCTGCAACCCTCGTGGAGATCCAATGATGATCGCTGCATTGCGCTGTCGGTGACCCGCAGATGCAGTACTAAGGTAGGTAAAGCTCGTAGGTATCGCTACATGTAGGTTGAAGGTAGCATTGGCATTCTCTCGAATA